TTGGACAATTCAGATTTCTTGGCAGCAGCTCGTTATAGTTGGTTCATTCAGCAGTGGTGTCCATTAGCTTCCAGAGGCACTTGACAATTCCCCTGGATAGTAGTCCTCAACGGCTAGTCCCGGTGATTCAGGGCACCCACTTTATTCCAATGACAGGAACTTTCAGGAATGGTAACTTCTAGCAGAAGTTTCTAATTATGGTCATAGTAGATGTTCTCTGTTTATTCACATGGCTCTTGAATCCCTTAACTACTGGAGAGTTAAGGATTGCCTTTCTCAGCACCATCTCTTTTTAGAGGAATTCCTGTTGAACCTTTCAGTAACCGCTATCATTGCTAAGATTTGTTTCTGTGAACACTAAGGTGAATGTAGATATTTTGAAGAGAATATGATTCAGAGATATGTAACATTCCCAAGATCCTAAAAGTATTTCCAAAAGATTACCATATAAAGATTTGGTAAAGGGGAGTCATTTAAAATAAAAAAAAGTTTTGAAATTAGGTATGAGCGAGACAGCTATAAAAGATTGGGAAAAAATTGTAAACATCTAAAAGCATTCTGTACTTGCATTGTTATGCATGTGTCTCTAAGTTCTCTCTCAGCTGAAATAAACTGGAAATCATAAAGCATATATTTGTGGGTGTGACTAAAATTCAGTCAACAGACCTATTTGCAAAGAAGTCTTTAGCCCTCCGTCAAAAGGTTTTCAAACTGATGTGCACTTAGATATTTTAAGTTAAAATATTTAAGATGCATATGAATCATGTTTATATTCTCTGCATTGATGGATTTTTCAAATAAATAACCAACTGCCTACCCTTATCACATTAAATAAGGTCTTCTTTGTCATTGATTTATTCACTCATACACTTACCTGCTATTAAAGTTCTTTAAAACTACTTTGTTCTATATTGTCATTGCATATAATGGCATTATACTTTATTATTTTACATTTCATCTTTAAGAGTCCCAGAATACTTTGATAAATGGTGTCTGAAGTTTGACCCAAAGGGTCTGTGGGTGTCTTGGATGGTCTGCCAGGTGCAGTACAAGGGAGTTTGGCTCAGTCAGGAAGGCCAGAAAACAAGTAGAATTTAGTACTCACAGGTCCCAGAGAGGAAACCATAGCATGCCTCGATGCAGGACCACACAAGGGGTTGCATTTGGGGACAAGGTAACAACAAGCTGGCACTGTAGGAGAGGGCTTAGGTATGGCAAGCAGAGTGGGGTTTGGGGTGAGTGCACGCTGCAGTCTTATTGGTCAGTGTAAAAGTTTCTAGTGTACTAGAATTTGAGTTCTGCACCCCACTTTTCTCCTGCTCCAACAGGGTCTCTCTATTGTGTTCCCTGTCGGGACATTCATTAGTGGTGGCTGGGCACCATCTAGTTCTTCTGGTCTCAGGCTGATGAAGTCTCTGGTTTATGTGGCCCATTCTGTCTCTTGGGCCAATACTTCCCTTGTGTCTTTGGTGTTCTTCGTTCTTCTTTACTCCAAGTGGTTAGGACCAATTGATGCATCTTAGATGGCTGCTTGCAAGCTTTTAAGACCCCAGACACCACTCACCAAGTAGGATGCAGAACATTTTCTTAATAAACTTTGTTATGCCAATTGACCTAGACTGGAGGAACCCCAGAAAGCATGACCCTTGGACTCTCGGTCAACCCAGCACTAAAACCATTCCCAAGGCCAACTCTTCAGACAAAGATTAGACAGGACTATGGGACATAAAATGATAACTCGTGAAGAGTGTGCTTCTTAGCTCAAGTAGATACATGAGACTAAATGGGCAGCTCCTGTCCAGAGGTGAGATGAGAAGGCAGAGAGGGTCAGGAGCTGGTTGAATGGACACGGGAAGTCAGGGGTGGAAAGGAGGAAGGGTGCTGTCACAGTATAGGGAGAGCAGTTAGGGTCACATAATAATGTATGTATAAATTTTTATATACGAGACTAACTTGAATTGTAAACTTTCACTTAAAGTACAATAAAATAAAAATAAATATAAAGTTTCTAGTGTATCAGTGTAGGAAAAGGGAGGCATTCTTCTCATGGGAAACCATATGGGGCATGGCTGGAAGGGGCAGGCAGTAGCCACAGTTGTTGAGAGGCTGTGTGACAAAATAGGAATGGCCATGTCAGCAACTGGGTGAAAGGGCTACTAGATGGAATTAACGGATGCCAAGGCAGCAAGCTGTGCAGGCTGAGAATTGGCCTTATGACAAATGGGGATCATGTATTCATCTCTAACATAGAAAAGAACAGCTGGAAATCTCATCCTGTCACCCCATCTAAAAACTCCTTAATGGTTTCTCATTGCCTTGAGGCTTTATATGATTTGACCTGTATTTACTTCTATAGCCTTATCTCTGCCACCCTTATTTTTAGTCTAGGCATACTGAATGATTTCCAGTGCTGGGCATTGTTTTATCCCCAAGCTTTCACCCACGCTATATACTTTGTTGTACCCCTCCCTCCACCCCAAATACACCTGTCACTTGGCTAGCTCCTACTCATTCTTCAGATCTCAGATTGAACGTTAACTTTTTTACAAAAGCCTTCCTGACCACTGGACTAGGTTATGTGTTCATAGTTTTTTTGTACTTTGTCATAGCATTTATTTAAAAAACACTTTTATTGAGGAATAATTCACATATCATAAAATTCATCCATTTAAAGTGTTGTAAAATTCAATGATCTTAGTATACCCACGGTTGTGCAACTATCACCATTATCTAAGTTTAGAACATTTGTATCTATCACTCCCAAAAAAACTACACCCTTTAGCTATCACGTCACTATGCCCCCAGCCCCTCAGCCCTAAGCAACTGCTCATCTGCTTTCTGTCTCTGTAGATTTGCCTCTCCTAGACATTTCATATAAATGGATTCTTACACTATGTGACCTTTTATGACTGACTGTTTTCACTTAGCATGATGTTTTCAAGATTCATCCATGTTGTAGCATGTATCAGTACTTCATGCAACATGCTATATGGCTGAATGATATTCCATCGCATGGATATAACCATCGGGAAGCCATTGGAGGGCTTTAAGCAGGGAAGTGACACAATCCAATTTATAATTTTAAAAGACGGTCTGGCTTCCAGGTGGAGATTATAGACCAGTTAGAAGGCTATTGTGGTGGTCCAGGTGAGAGGTGATGGGGCTAGATTGTATTTCCGAGTTCTCTTGTAGTCTATGATTCTATATCGTTTATCTACATCTGGGTTTTATTCTGGACGATTGTCACAATTTTCCCACAACAGTTTGGTCTGAGACCTTCAGTATTTGTTGAAGATCCATTGGGGGAAGCATATTACCACTGTTGTTGTTGTTGTTAGGTGCTGTCGTGTTGGTTCCGACTCATAGTGACCCTGTAGGACAGAGTAGAACTGCCCCATAGGGTTTCCAAGGAGCGGCTGGTGGATTTGAACTGCCAACCTTTTGGTTAGCAGCCGAGCTCTTAACCACTATGCCACCAGGGCTCCAATATTACCACTACCTATGTTTTTTTATAAATATTGCCCTCATTGCTGTTTGCTTCAAAGAAATGGTGAATAAGGATAATTATCGCTAGTGTTCCCAATTTGGAGAATGAGATAAGGGATATTTACAAGTATTTAGGATAAGGGATATTTAACAAGCCTGGCTTTTCATATTATTACCTTATCCAAACATATCCAGTTTTTGGTATAGTGATGGGTTTCACTTCACCAGTGGAAAGGCAAGGTAACATTTTTCAGTGCCTAACACAATGCCTGACATGTAATAGTTAATAGATATCTGTCCATTATATATGACCGTTGCTGCTGGTTGAATTCAGCACATACCACCAGTTTATGACCTTTGGTATACATAATTTATCATTTTACTTTCATAACCACTCAGTTGGTGTGTGCAGGATCCCCATTGTCTAAAGGAGGAAACCAAAATTCAAAGCAATTCACATTGTTCCTCACCTAATCCTGAAAGCATTCCCATGAGGTAGGCCAAGATGCTACGCAGAATTTACAATGATGAGACAGACTCAGAGGATGATAGTAACTGGCCCAACTTAACTCCCTATTCCCTTACCCTGCTTTAGTTTTCTTCATAGTACTTATTAGATATAATATATATCTATTTGTATATTTGTTTATTGTTTGTCAGCCCCACTAGAATGTATACTCCATGCGGACAGGTACTGTATGAATTATCTATTGCCGTGTAACAAATTACCCTAGAACTCAGTGCCATAAGACAAACATTTATTATTTCAAAGTTTCTGTGGATCAGGAATTCAGGAGCAGCTTAGCTGGGTGGGTCTGGCTTGGGCTTTTTTGTGAGGTTGCAGTCCAGAGGTCAGCCAGGGCTGCAGTCATCTGAACACTTGACTGGGACTGGGAGACACACTTCTGAGCTCACTCATGTGACTGTTAGCTCCTGACTGGCTGCTTGCTGAAGACATCAGTTCACCACATGGGCCTCTCCTCATGACATGACAGCTGGCTTCCTCCAGAGCAAGTGATCTAAGAGAGAACAAGGCAGAAGCCTTATTATGTATAAAATGTCTTTTATGACTTCGCATTGGAAGTGGCATATGTTCAGTACTGCCATAATCTATTGGTCACACAGACCAATCCTGTTATACTGTGGGAGGGGAGCATAAGGGCATGAGTTACTGGAGGCAAGGATCATTGGGGACCATCTGGAGTCTGGCTGCCACAGACACTTTCTCTGTCTTGTTCACTGTTATCTTCCTAGCACTCAGAAGGGTGCCTTGCATATAATAGGTGCTCAGTAAATATTTGTTGAATGAGTGAGTGGGTGGATTTAGACTACATATGAATTTAAGACATATATTTATAGAAAAAAGACCATTCATGGAGGTATAAGTTGCTGGAGTGGGGGCTAGAGGTAGTGGTGGTGGGGTGAGGGTAAAAGATAAGTTCTAAAATAAAAATGGTTGTCAGATGTAAAGAGAAAGGGACTCACTGTATTTTCTGGTTGTCTCTTTCCCCCAGATGTGGAAGCATGAGGGGTTTTTTGCACTCTATAAAGGATTTTGGCCAAACTGGCTTCGACTTGGACCTTGGAACATCATTGTATCCTTTTCGAACATGAGAATGAAAGGAAATGTTTTAAGCTCCCAGGTAATTCTAGGCCATGGGAAGGAAATTTTGATTATAGGCAACCCCGGTAGCTCCCTGACCCCCAACACACACCTTGGTTACAAACTCATACTTGCCCTTTAATATTATGTAAATTTGCCCTCATTTTGAAATGATTGAACCAACAGCCCCTACTCCAACAAAGTATTCATCACAATCACCTTGACTTGCTGCACATGCAGCTCATTGAACTCATTGAAAAGGCAAAGGCTTAGAGCCTTTTCTTGCACTAAAGTAAGGCTAAATAAGAACCATATGAGCGTGTTCCAACTTACCTACAAACTTGACTTAAAGACACAGTTAGGAACGGATCTTGTTCATAACCCGGGGATTGCCTGTATTGAAACCTTTAGGCAAGTGAGAAACTCAACCGTCCTAATGGTGACCACAGCTTTCAATTTGAGGCTAATACAAACTAAGGGGAGTAGAAAAGATGTGCCCAACTCTCCTCTTTTCCTCTTTAAAATAAAAGAACAACAAACATAGCCAGTCTAGAAGGGGCTATGAAGTTTTTGAAGGCATGATGGAGGAAGTGCCAATAGGAAAGTCCATGCTGGGGTGGTCCTTATTTCCTACCTGTAACTTGGGACTCAAATAGCTGGGAAATAATAACAGGACAGGAAACATTCACGGAATGAAGGAATCCAGAGCAAATTAGGGCTCCTTCCCCATGGGAGACTCTCTCTCCCCTTTAATTGTGTTTGAGTGCCTCATATGTACGGAGCCATGTATTGGATACTGCGTGTGGTTATGTGTATAGTAGGGAGCATTGCAGGGTTGAAAAGTAACGAAACACACATTCCCTGCCCTGTAGGCTGAGAGATAGTATCTCTCTCCCTCCTTGGAATTGCTCTGATCACCTAATGCCTGTAACAATTACTCTAGCACTAAATTATATGGTGGTGTTGATGTTCTGGATTACTTTTGTGTGTATATGCCCCGTTTGCCCCTGAAGACTATAAGTATATTAGAGTTTTAATCTGTTGATATTGCTAAATGCCAATGATCATTATGGGCACATGGTGGCTACTCAGTGAATGATTGATTTGACAGATAGTATTTTTTCTTTTTTTATTGTTGTAAGATGTTGTTTTAAAAGACTTTTGAAGAAGAGCATAGAATAGCACAGACTAAGTACCTATTTAAGAGAATGCAGTGTACAATTTTAGAACTGGGTTTGGCTTTTGGTATCAATCCAGTGATCTTCCATGACTTACTCCTCAGTTTTTTATTACATACGAGCAGCTGAAGAGGCTTCAAATCTAAGGACTGAATTATGTGTGAGCCCAGCCCTGCCAATCTTTCTCTGTTTTTTTTCCCCATTTTTTTCTGTGTTCTAATGTATTTTAAAAATGTTTTAAGTGTTTGCTGAACCTGTGGACCCCCAAGGGCCTCCTGATTGAAGAACGATACAGTGGTTCAAAAATGTTTATGTGTTTGTGTTACCATGTTAACTTTTCCCTGAGGAAGTGTTAACGTTGAGACTCTGGCCCCAGATTGGTATCTTCTGTGAAGATGGATGCTGATGGATAATTTTCAAGGTGGTTGTCTTTCAAATGTGGGTTAAATGTAGTTGGTAGCCCCAGATAAGGGCTAGAGCAGAAGGCATAGGCCAGAGCAGTTACAGCTGTGAATGTTACAGACCTTGGTTCTCATTAAAGTATTTATTGGCAAAATTACTTTGGCTTTGTCTTCATTTACTGTTTGTTCCTTTGCTGGCTCTTTAAGTTCCATTCTCTAGAAGGTGATAATGAGAAGGTGACTGTGAAATTGAGAATTAGACACAAGGCAGAGTTAGGCGCTTCATACCTGGACTTTTAAAGTGTACATTTATGGGAATAGAGTAAGTGCACTGTGCTTCACAACTGCCATTCATTGTCATACTGCCACTTACTGTCAAACATCAGACAAGTGGCCCTTTCCTAAACAGGAATAAACAAACAAGTGACTCGTTCGGAAATGGTTACAAATAAAATGCAGAGAGGTTTAAAATAGAACCCCATGCCTAGGGTTCTGTTGTCTTACTGGCAAAAATTTCTGGCTACTTTCTTGTACTAGAATAGTGCCTAGCACATAGTAGGCACTCAAATATTTGTGGAATGAATAGTTTAGTTCTTCATCTTTATCCATTCATTCACTTCTTTAACAAGCATTTATTGCATGTCTTTTATGTCCTAGATGCTGGGAATATAAAAATGAGTAAGACATAGTCTCTGTTTTCAAGCTCACATTATAGTGGGAGAGACAGATATGTAAATAAATAATTACAGTGGGTCCTAAGTAGTGGGTGAGAGATGAACATAGTGCTGCAGAAGCACAGACGAGGGAACAGCCAATTACCTAGATGCCTTGGTAGCATAGAAGACATTGAACTGAGTCAAAGGAAGAGTAGATGTTACCATGTAGATTAGGCAGGGGAGGACAGTCGAGCAGAGGGACTGCACATGCAAGAGCTCTCAGGTGTAAAAGGGCAAGGTGTGTTGGGGGAATGGGTGAGAGTTCAGCATGGCCGTGGTTTTCCAACACCAAGTGAGTCAGAAACACTTGGGAATCTTGTGAAAATGTAGATTCTTGGATCCCATCCTCTGAGACCCTGACCCTGTTTGGGGCAAAGGCTTTTGCTTTTGTCATAAGCACTTGATGCAGGTGGTCCTTAGACAACACTTTGAGAAGCACTGGTAAAAGAGTGTAGGCTAGAATGAAAGGAGATCAGAGTGGCCCAGAGGGTCAAGTTATAAAGGGTCTTGTATGTCCTAAGAGTTTGAACAGGCAGGCAAAGGAAATTTTAAAAAGGGAATTATATGACCAGCTCTTTTTTTTTTTTAGGAGGATAACCCTAGCAGCAGTGTGGAGGGGAGCGACCCAAAAAAGTGTGTATGTGACATGCTTTTTTGACTCTAGGAGTGTGCCTGGAATGTGATGTCTAAGACTCACTGAAGTTGACTCCCCCTTAATTTACGGTGGACAAAGTGAGGTCCAGAAAAACTAAGAAAATTTGTCCAAAGTCAAGTAGCCAGATTGTGGCAGATTTGGGACTAACACACTTACCAGGATTCGTCCCTGTTCTCTTTCTACCATCCAACAAAGACTTTCTGATTTTGTCAGTCTAAAGTACTACCTTATTTATTTTTTAAACATTTACTACACCAGTCCGATACTCATCCCCAAATAGATGGGCAAAAGGAAAGCCATTTTATCACAATGGCACATGCTGGAAGATAGTTCTTTGAAGGGCTTATCTGTATTGGAAATTGGCTCTCATTCACCTCAGCTTAAATGTTATTCTTTCAGAGAAACCTTTTATTGATTCCCTCTCCCCTAATCTAAATAACGTTCCTCATTAAAATGTCTTATACCATGTATCACAATTTATAACTACATATTATATTTTTATGTGCTTGATATCTGTATCTCCCACCAGTCTGTAAACTCCATAAAAATAGGGATTATATTGGTTTTATTCACTGTTATGTTCTCAGTGCCTAGCCCAGTTATATGTACTCAGTAAATATTTGCTAAATGAATTGCTCTATATCCCAAGGATCTGAAAAAATGCCTAAAACAGTAAAGGTTCATCAAGTACTGTGAGATTTAAATGGAATGAAATTAAATTTGAATTACTGGATAAATTATGGGATGATAGATAAAGAATAGGTTATTAAGGAAAAATAGAGGTGTTTAGAGGAGATACACCTTATCTTTTAGACTGATCATTCACTCAACAAATATTTATTGTGCTTCTATACAGGCCCTGGGGATATAGCAATGAACAACAGACAAATATCACTACCCTCATGGATCTTAAATTCCACAAAAGGGAGACATGATAAAAGATTAATAAGTAAAATGTATAGTATATTAGATGGTGATAAATGCTTTGTAGAAAAATAAAGCAGGGAAGGGAGTTAAGGACTATCAGGGCAGGGTTGCAGTCTTAAATAGAGAGGTCAGGAAAAGTCCACACGGAGAAAGCAACATTTGATTGAAGTCTCTAGGGGATGAGAAAGCCCATCTAGGGTTAAAGCAAGTGCAAAGGCCCTGAGGTGGGAGTGTGCCTGGAGTCTAATGTCATGATTCAGGCAAGAAGTGATGGTGGCTTGAGTGAGGATAATAGTGGAGGTTGTGAGAAGTGGTTGGAATTCTGGATATATTTTGGAGAAGAACAGATACGATTTTCTGGGGGATAGGATGTGGATTGTGAGAGAGAAGAAGCAGAGTTAAGGATTACTCCAAAGTTTTTAGCCTGAGCCACTGCAAGGGTAGTATTGCCACAGAGGTGGGGAAGACTGTGGAAGGAACAGGGCTTTTAGGGGGAAATTGGTAGTTTTGTTTTGTATGTTAAGTTTGACGGGCCTACTAGACTTTAATAAGAGATGTGGAATAAGCAGTGGAACATAGAAATGTGGTGCTCTGGAGAGAGGTATGGGTCAGGGATGCACGTTTGGAAGTCATCAGCATATCTATGGCACTCAAAACTGACATACTGAATGAGATCACCAAGGAAGTGAGTATAAATAAGAGAAGAGTGAGTCCAAGAACTGAGCCTGGGTCACTCCAACATAAAGCAGTTGGGGAGAAAATCAGCAAAGGACAGTGCCAATGACTAAACACCCAGCCTGAAGTCATCTAAAAAAAAAAAAAAAAAGACTAATATGTTCTGGTGATGGGAAAAAGAGGCAGTGAGGGTTAATTATTTTCAATATAAAATTTGAAGAACAGTAATTTGAAGCTATGAAATCTTTTCCCAGATTACCAAAGATGTAAGGATTGCTACTTTTATAGTAGCTATAGTCATGGACAAAGTCCAAATTAAATAACTTGACTTTTACTATTTTTATTTCTGGTATAGTAGCCCTGGTGGGCACAAATGGTTAAGCGCTCAGCTGCTAACAGAAAGGTTGACGGTTTGAACGCACCCAGCGGCTCTGTGGGAGAAAGACCTGGCGATCTGCTTCCATAAAGATTAGCGCCTAGGAAACCCTATGTGGCAGTTCTGCTCTGTTACATTGGGTCACTATGAGTTGGAATCGACTGGACGGCACCTAACAACAGCAACAACAACATCTTATCCTTAGTCATAGGTTAATACAGCATCTCCTCCGGTAACCAATATGGTGAGTAGAATAGTTTGATTGAGCACTGAGGGTTAACCCCAGTTCTACAGTGAAATAGGCCACACTAAGGGTGCCCCAGGCAGTAAATAAGGATCTACCTCTTAACACCTGACTTTTGAAGGGAATTATTTCACATATCTTAAGAATTCAGTGCTTCACAAAAATATTCACCATAGGGTTCTCTTAGGTAACAAGCTCCCTATTATGCATTTGATTTGCAAGATTTTTAGGTGAAATTTACATAACATAAAATTAGCCATTTTAAAGTGAAGAATTCAGTGGCACTTAGTACATTCACAATGTTGTGCAACTACCACCTTTATCTCGTTTCAAATAATTTTCATCACCGTAAAAGAAAACCCCCTACCCATTAAGCAGTTGCTCTCCATTCCTTCCTCCCCCTAGTCCCTGGCAGCCACCAATCTGCACTCTGTCTCTATGAATTTGCCTATTCTAGTTATTTCATATAAATGGAATTATACAATATTTGCCCTTCTGAGACAGGCTTCTTTCACTTAGCATGATATCTTCAAGTTTCATCCATGCTGTAGCTCGTATCAGTACTTCATTCTTTTTTATGGCTGAATAGTTGTGTATGTGTATCCACAATTTATTTATTCCTCCATTGATGAATTGATTTGCCATTTTTTATTGAAAAATAACCTTTTAGGAGCACATCAGATATGAAACAGATCCACTCGTGTCTTTTAAAGGTAGATTGGAAGAGAAATCTTTCAGAATCAATGACTACAAGGAAACAATTTTTAAAGGGATGAAGGACCTTGGTTGAACTCTTGTTTGTCAAAACAAAACGAGACAAACTCTCTGTGTATTACCTGCTCAATTTATTTGTAAACCTAAAACTTCTAAAATATAAAGTCTATTTATTAAAAAAAGAAAACTGCTCAGAACGAAAGGTAACACAAAGATGAACGGGCGCCACTAATTTGGAAGAGAAATAATTCTTTCCCCAGTTAAAAAGCCCAGCATCTCAGAAAGACAGACAATAGCAAGGGTTGGTGAGGATGTGAAGAAACTGGAACTTTCATACATTGCTGGTGGAAATGCAAAATGGTGCAGCTACTTTGGAAAACAGTTTGGCAGTTCCTCAAAAATTTAAACATAGTGTTACTATATGACCCAGCAATTCCACTCCTAGATGTATACCCAAGAGAGTCGAAAATACATGTTCACACAAAAACTTGTACATGAATATTCATAGCAGCATTATTCATAATAGCCAAAAGGTGGAAATAACCCAAATGTCTATCAAATGATGAACAGATAAACAAATTGTCATATATCCATATAATGGAATATTATTTAGCCATTAAATGCAATAAAGTCCCTATACATGCTACCATATAGATGAACCTCAAAAACATTGTACTAAGTAAAAGAAGCCAGGCACAAAAGGCCACGTGTCGTACGATCCCATTCATATGAAGTGTCCAGAAGAGGCAAATCTGTAGAGACAGAAAGTAAATTAGTAGTTGCTTAGGGTTGGGGGAAGATGCAGAGGGACTGCTATGAGTACAAGGTTTCTTTCTGGGATGATGAAAATGTTCTAAAATTAGATATGGTGATGGTTGCACAGCTCTGTAAATATACTAAAAACCATTGAATTGTATGCTTTAAATAGGTGAACTTTATGGTATGTAAATTCTCTGTAAAGATTTTTTTTTAAAGCCAGCATGTGGTTTGGATTGATTAAACTGCTATATTAGGATGGCTAGTGAGAAATACAGATTGGTTCATATTAACTCCAGATGATCATTTGGATATTTTCCCTTGGAATGAGTAAATCCATCACGTTACCAGCAACCTGAAGATCATACAACTGACATTTCTAGTCAGGAGAGCCTTGTGTGTTGTTCCAGGTTTGAAGGGATAAAATGATGATCAACATCTGTAGGCTACAAGAGGAAAAAACTTTCAATTTTTTTAATAGGATGGACAAGTCAATAATAATAGCTAACATATGACTTTTATTATTGCCAGGTTCTGTTCTAAGTGTATTATGTTTATAAATCTCTGTTTACATCCTTACAATCAATCTATGAGTTAGGGATTATTATCTCCATTTTTCAGATGAGAAGCTGAGGTATAGAGAGGTGAAGTACTTTGCCACTAGGAAGTGGTAGAGCCAGGGTTCTCACCCAGGCAGTTTGGCTTATGAGCCCATGCTTATAATCACTAAGCTAGAGGTATGCTGACTTAGCCTTGCCCACTGTCACTTAGAGTTCATGGCAGGTGAGCAGTAAAGAATATTGATTTCATTAATTACCCTATCTTTATAGCACCCTGGGAGAAAGAGGGTCTTGGTCTGGGAAATGGCACACCAGAACAACACGGACATATTCC